TCTGTGACATAAAAAATGAAGATTTCTTCTACATTTTGAACGTAGTTTGTTAATTATGTCATTATTTTAGACGGAAATGCGTGTGTTTTTATACCTTTTATACTAACATTTGTTGCTTTCTAACATAGTTGCGGTCATTACCCTCAATGTTGTGTAAGTACTCGCACTATGTGACAACTTCACTGTTTTGTGCTTTCTTGAGATCAATGCAGTCCGCAATAGGAGAGAAAGCTGTGGCAAATCTGTAAACTATTTTAATTGACTTGCGTTTGGAGCTTTTGGTATTTGATCATAGAAAGAAGTCCATCATATATGTACTTTAGTAATATTCATCTATTAGTATTAGTTATAGTAGTACTAGGAAGCGAGTTCGTCTAGTCCCGGCTTTAAATCCCGCCAATCACCAATGCATTTTATCTGAGTGATAATGTCACGACCCTTTTAGGACTAGCCTGAAGTAACATTGTTTTCCCAAGAAATTTTAGGATTCGCACAACGTTTTAAAAACGTATGTTATACCAACCTGAACATATAGTGGTTACAATCTTGGGTTTCGTTGTTATTGTTATGATTTGTTCGATGTTATGATTTATCGTTGTAAAGTGTGGCTGATTTGATTCGCGATACCTACTTCAATTTCAGATGGTTTCACTACTTTCCTTTTAGAGCGTCGATGTGTTTCATAGGGAAATTCTCATGAATTAGATATAAAAAACCAAGAGTCTGTTCAGTTTTAAAATCTAGTTTCCTTTGTACAGCATGCGATTTTGTGGAACATAGCCTAGTGGTGTTAGTTTCTGTTAGTTGTAAACAATCTATATACGAGATTGGAGTTTGAGTGATTAAATTACATGTTCCTTCAAACGTTTTCCTCTTAACTTGCTTATGTCCAACATTTCAGCTTGACAACAAAATAATAGGAAATTCCAAGGAAATTTTACGAAGTTTAGCAAAATTTGAGTTGCCCATTTTTAACCGTTATAAGCAACAACGAGATGCTACAACTGCAAAAATGCATGCGAACTCAGCAGTGCCTCAAAGAATATAATTGGCCGTAGTATTATGATATCGTTGTGATTCCAGAGCCTTCTAATTTGTTTCCTGGCAATTAATTACAAGTTAGTGTAATCATCTTGGGGAAGTAACGAGTTCATGTCTGTAGAGCGTATAGTTCCAGCGTGTGGTCGCGCAGGTCAAAATATATAGTCTAATTACGTTGCACTTATGGCTGAAGTGCAATATAAATGCATTATAACACAAATATATTGTTATTTTAGATAAAATTGAGTAATAATAGAAAATATTGAGCTAGCATTTTGACTTTGTTGCAGATGGCCTTAAGTTAGTGCTCCATTACTTGCTTGAAGATGACCACCAGCAACTAGGCCGAAACTTCAGCTCAAGTTATTTGGAATTAGACAGGGTTTTACCAAAAGACCAAAGTATTGTAGGACATTATTGTGGTTTGATGGAAATCTGTCTTCTATGAGCATCTAATTGAAGAAATGCCAAATAAAATAATATCCATACAAAAGAATTTTGCTTTTTTAAGGATTTTGTTAATGGAAGTATCACGTTTCCGTAAAAAGTTAACGTTTTTTTTATCGCCAACTAGTTCGTCTTACATAGAAAGGTAAACATAAATATAACGAAGATGGTTATTGATTTGGATAAGTAATCGCCTTAAATCGTCGGTTAAATCTCGACCATTCCTATTATGTATGAAATCCAGGACATTTATTAAATTGGGTACTTTAGGAGTTTCTAAAGGGAGATATTTAAACTTGCATCGTAGTAGCATATTTTGTATGAAAAAATGAAAAATGATTTATTTTTGTAAAAGTATCTTTATGTGTTTTGACGTTCTTAAGAGCGTATGTTTGATTAAGATGGTAAATTTTGTACTCAGTGTATAATAGGGAAGGACATGTTTATCTAAAAGGTTACAGAAGCAGTTAAATAAAATATTTCCAAATATTGTGATCGTAGCATAATGTTGGAAACTAAGTAAAATAACTTGAAACTTGTAATATCTATGAAATAATTAAATAAATCATTTCACAATATCGCTGTGAACACAAATATGACGGTATATACTCGTTATTTAATGATACCAGTAAATTTACAGATGCTATGTAATAGGGGTTAAAATAACAAACAACATTACAAATGTATGTACGGCGCACGGGTATTAATATGGATAACAAATTTTATAAAGTTGATTAGAAGTTCAGTTGAGGAATATGTTGGTTACATCAACTGATCCTCTACTTAAAATAATCTTTAGTTATTGAGTCAATAGAAAACTACAAATTGTTTACAATAAAATTTTTTACGTACATTACCATCTTATGTGCAATTCATACATAGAAATCCGTATAAACTCACAGTCTAAGACGGTACTTTCATATGATGACAATGATGATGATTATTTTAATACTTCATGATTAGCTGTGGTTACAGTAAAATCATTGAAGAGTCCCTTTTCAACGGGTTAGTACACTCTGCGTTATAAGAATAACCTGACCTGAATACTAAAGTCATAAAATTCTCAATTATCTCAATTATCTTATTAAATCTAAAGCGGAAGAATAATCAGCTGTTACTGAGCCGTGACGTCATTGGCTGATCGTTCTGGCGCGGGGAGGTCGTTATAGCGGGAAAGCGGGCAATATACTCGTGCAATGATAGTACATAAGTTCACTGACATGTAGTGGAACTTCACATAATACATGACAAAACTGAATTATTTTTTCTCATGCAATGAATTCATATATGTTTGCAAGCTTTTCAAGTTGGTATGAATTAAATAATTTTTTTCTAAGACTTTAAAATATTTAATTGTAGACGTTTTAAACACACGTATTTTTCAGTGGGTATTTTTCAAAGGTATCTCAAAGTTACAAATTAAAGTACAGATCAAAATCAAAACTTTTCTTTGTTTATTTATGAAGTTCCTTTTAAATAAGTTTATACCTAGGCAATTTACAATTGCTTGACTTACACATGTACATTATAACGATCATAACAGTTATTCAAATAAATATTTACGACGTTTCACTAAAATTCAGAATTTATCAATCACTTAGAACATTGTTACATTGGATAAACTGTGTTCGTGATGCTCGTTGAACGAATTCCAATTGAATTTCGGTGTATACAAATTGTGTGGATATATTAAGATTTTAAGCCAAAACAGGTTTTTAAAGTACCAAACAAATTAATTTGCTAAAATGACCATAATTAGTCAAGAAATTAATAACTAAGAAGCGAGTAGTATCAGAGTAATTTTAAACAACTCCCGAAATCGAAACCTGACTCAATATTCGTGGCTCGTACCATAACACGTGATATAAATAACAGATCAGAGATTGGGTTTGAGCGATAGAAGCTAGTGAAAGTTGGCAATCAGGAGCAATCTTTTACGTTTGCATACATCTGGGAACGGCCATTTATAATTGGCTAAGATATTTAATTATTGCTTGCGCGACTACTTGCGACTCAGCTGGCCTGAGGGATAGAAAATATAGGTTGTTACGTAAGTAATGTCCAAGAGGTAGGTTGTCAAAGTTGTAAAAGTGAAACTTGAATGTATTTTTCCTACAGTCACCTGACAAAGTGGTCTTCCTTAACATTATTGGCCTTAACAGATTATAGTTCAGAAAGACTTACTTTGACACACAGTTTTTACTTTCGCGCACACCAGTATTCCAACCAAACAACAGAAAACAGCGTGCGTTTATTATGCAAGTAATCCGTGTACGCTTGAAAATAAGTTGGCAACAAACACTTAAAGATATTACGAGCACGATCAGCTGGTGCAGCGTTTCCCTTTTCGTTCAATGTTTGGATTTAACCTAACCTAAAAACGTGTTGTACAGTGTTTGAAAGACTGATTATTTATATGATTAATAGTAACTGTAGGAAAAATATAATGTGTAACACGAGTGCAAACTGCCTCTCGTGTGCAGCAAAGTGCCACTTCGCCCACTAGTTACACAAATGACTATTGAAAAACGCTTTGTTTTGAAAATATATAATAAGCTTTAGTTTTAACTTGGGTTTATAGTAATATCACATTGTTTGTACGACGCATCGCTCCTTTAAACACAGTATATGTGAATATTTCTGGGTTCTTGGTTACTAGACTCTTTTATTAGTGCATTACATGATGTGCATTACACGACCTTTAAAAAAGCTTAAAATAGTTTTAGATGCATATCCTTGTAATGTTAGTATATAAAAATGATGGTAACAACTGATTGGTTTGGATTGGACAATTAAATAACCTTATGCTTGGTAGGCAAAGTACCTATAACATATGCATAGCATTCCTTCACATTGAATCCAGACAATAATATTCTTAAATTACCACGAAACGTATTGCTCAATTGTTTTATCGAGCAATAAGTTTATACCTAATGTTTACACGTTTAGTTTGAAAATACATTTACACACTCCCATTACACACTTTGTTATGCAACTTAGGTTTGTAAAGGCTGTCTTCCATTTTCCAAATTGCAGGGACTATTTTATATTTATAATAAACAACTCCCAAACCAATTCGACCACCAATTACTTGTATGGTATATTTAATGTCTCGTGTGAATAAAATAATGCAAGTGTAAGTATACTTGTTAACAGGGACAAGACGTTTTACATAAAAAATTCCTAGTAATTTATACGAATGTAAATCTCTTCAGCAATCTTTTAGAATTACTAATCAAATTTGCGTTATACTTGATCAGTTTGTAAAATCGGAATACAATACGTATTTTACATAAACATGCAATAAATTTTCAATTTGTTTTATAACTACCCGCCTGATGAAATAAATGGATTTAGAAATGTCATTGGACCATTCTAGTCTATTAAGACACAACCGATATACCAGGTGTTTTGTAAGAATGCCTCAAACAGTAAACAAACACAGTACAGCCAGACTCAGAGTGTAGAACCAATGTCATAAAACTTGTACGGTAGTCGCGAGGTGATATGGTAGTCAAACACTGCTGCATGATAGGCTGTGAGTGCCTTACCTGAGTGCCTATAACAATGCCTCCAACAGCATGTATGTCCAGGGGGCTGCTGAACCAGTACGTCGCCGGCTTTGCGGGTAAAGTTGTGTGGAGTTTGTGTGAAGTTTGATGGTGTTAACGGGAAGCTTTTGTAGGAGGAAAGAATAAGACTTGATTAATTAAAGCTACTTGTAAATCCTATATATTAATAGGCAAGCATGTTTCTAGAAAACCTTTTTTCTCAGCTTGTGTGTATCGCAGGGAAAAATCTACGCATACCGTTAAAAACATATTTTCCTGTAGATGTGCAGAATCCCTTTATAAATTGAAATAGGCTCAAAAATAAGAACAAAACATGAATTTAAAATTAAAAATCATCATTAAATCATCACAAGCTTTATTCTGGTGCCATTCTGGTGACGAAATATAAACAGAATATGAAAACAAATGGACTAAATTCCAATCATATGTTTTATTTACAGCGTGGCGTGAAAATAGCGTTGTATGTACATTGCATATTTTGGTCGAGTTTTCAACCACTGGACGACCTCTAGTTTATTTAAATTCTTGACTCAATAACGTATGTTTCATCCGACTAATGTTTGTTTTATGGATATTTGTAACAGTGCTAAAAATCTTAATCTTATTTGGCTAATTAATTGCACGTTGTAATTGTGAAAGTAACTGTTGTATACATCCTTGTATTGTTGTTATAATCGTTCATAGTTTTAGGCAAATTGGATAGAAACAATACTAAGAATACACTGGTAGCCACATCAGCTTATAACAATGACCACATGTATTTTACAATGTTCTAAAATGTTTTCTTAGATCTTCTATTGGTTTTAAAAAGCTACAACCACAAATATATATGCCTTACATACAAATACATGATTCATGGGCTATTAAATATGAATGTAGGGAGATTGTGTGTAAACAATATTGGCTCAGAGTGAGTTTGTAGATGCAACGAAAGACTCATCTAGTGAAATATGAAACATGTTAAGCTGTTTTTCATTCCCGGTATCGCTTGAGTGATTTTAGTTTTTGATAATATTTTATTTCAAAGTTTAGGGTAATGTATAATTTGATTTTTCATTTTGATGTCCCCAGAGGCCAAAAACAACATTCGTTCAAATCGTTATATATATGTTATATATGTGTCCGTAAACGCGATAACTTGAGTAATTTTTGTGCGATTTTGATGAAATTTGGTTTAAGAGGTGTAAGGCAGGATAAACTTGAATGAGTTCGCGAACGAAAAAGATCGGACCACGCGAACGGGGTTTTACAGGGGGTTTTATGGGGTAAAAAATGGCTTTTCTCATTTTTTACCCTTAAAACACAAAATTTCCCAATTTTTCTCTAGATCTTTTTAAAGAGCTTAAAAAACAAATAATTTAGTATATTAAAGTGTTTCGTACGGTTATTATATTATATTGGTAACGGAGAAAATTAAAAAAAAAATAATTTATTTAAATTGTTCATGTTATTATTATGGAGAATATTGTAAAACGTTGTAGTTTGCTTGTTTATGGATATATTTTGATCAAACTTGGCTAATTTATTCATTTTATTCTAAGTTATTAATATTTAACTAAAAACACACTTTAATAGTGTCCTTGTAGCAGCTAACCTAGGTTCTCTTTAAACCTAATGCTATTGAAATAAATTTGCTTGAAAATCAATCCAGACAAATGGAAATTCGCTAAGTTTTGCTGCGGCAGGAGTATTGTATGTTAGCGTGTGATCATTTGTCTGTGTTTATAAATGACAATATATTATGCGCCTTCAGGATACTAACTGCTTAGCACTAGTGTCATGCAGGTTAGGCAGCCATTGTTCGAAGGCGTTGATAGTAAATAAATAGCTCTTCGATTCTGTGACTCGTTGATTGAACAATGAGTCATAATACACCCGTATCAGTAGCAAACTGGAATGTGCTAAGATTGTATTTATGATGCTTTTGAAAAACAATTCAACCCATACATTTGATAAAGTGTATTTTTTTCTTATAAAAATATACCAGAGAGCACAGATTGTGCTCGCTGAAATAAACTAAGGTAAACAATGTATTCTGGCATAAATGTATATTGCTCTCTAATGTAGTCAGAATAGAACTTAAAATTTGTTAGAGCAAAGAGGACTTAAATGTAGAGTGCCTGTAAGGGAAATGTTTCAAACTTAAAATATGCGTGTGTGTATGAAAAATTGTTGCCATATATACTAGTCTGTGTTCTCATTTTGCCAAGCTGGTTTAAAGAGCAAAATTTGAAACTTCGAATATAGAACTGAATAATGTTCAATCGTTGCAGGTGTTACTATTTACCTAACAGATACATGGTATGGGTTTACATTTTTTTGTAATGAATCTCAAGTCATTCCGAATACTTGAACAAAAATGTTGTTTGCTCCTCGAAAGAGGAATCCATTCTCAAAGCAACTTTAAAGCATGTTTCATCCACCTAGTTTCAATCCCACTTCTTGAAAAACGTATATTATATGAAATCCGTACGGGTTGGTAAAATAGGCGTCAGACCAGCATCAGCATCAGACCATTTTTATACACTGAAATATATGAAAATGAAAAACTAAAAAGTTATGTTACCTAAAAATACATAACGTTTTTATCCAGTTATACAACGACATTTTCAGTTTCATGTAAATGATTAACAAACATTATAATATCAAAAGATAGATCAATCGTCAATTGCATACCACAAACATCGATAGGGGGTATAGGTTGGCAATAGATTGGTAACTGGCAAATAAATGCTAAATTTATTTTGATTTGTGAATCGCGATTAGGAACATTTTTTGTTACTTTGGTATTATACGGAGGCCACCCTTAAACAGCGCGCTGTGGCAGTTATGTTAGGTTGGGTTATCATAAATTGAAAGTATGATTCATCTGGTATAGTTCAATTCATAACGAAACGAGGAAATTCCTACAAACATATTTATGATAACCCAACCTAACATAACCGCCGCAGCACGCAGCAAATATAAGACCTCCATATAATACCAGAGTACACATTTTTCTATACTAAAGTTGATATTAATATAAGTTACGAAATCCTAGTTGTTGGAGGGATACAAGGATTCATCTGCCCTTGAACATGTTTGAATGGCCAGAACAAGATAGATTTTTGAGTGTGAATTTAGTATAACGAAGTGTCAATTTTATAGCCTGTATATGACAGTGTGGTGATATTCCACTTTGATTCCCCAGCATGCCTGAGCGCCTTGACGTCAGCCACCTGCTACAGCTACACGACCCCTCTACTGCCCAGACTGTTGTCACCCTCCAGCGAACTGCCGCTGACACCCTCACAGCTCACATGGGTCATCAGGTTGTCTCATAGCCACTCATAGCTTAAACTCACTGTCAAAATTAAAATTAGTATATGAAAACTTCAAAAGAAATGCAAGCTAAAAACTTTCGGCATAGATAAAACTTACTCCCTCAGTAGATTTCTCATCATTATGGAACAGCTGAAGGCAATTTTATTGTTAGTTCTGTAAGGTGTACTGCAGAGGTCGTGTTTTGTTTAAAATTTGTTTCTTGTCATTTCAGTAATTTAAAACCTTGTTTAGCCAAATAACACGATCCAATCATAAGCAATAACACTTCCCCTAGTTATATAAATAAACAGTAAGCACAAATCGTGAAATTAATCCTAAAATAATCGAAACAAAATTTCGTCGACACTAGCGCCCAGTGCCACCGTACATGAAGTAGACACGAAAAACGAGCTTCAAAATGTACAATGGGATGATAAGTCTACTTGTGTTGGTTAGACTATGCTTTTGGCCAAAGAGGAAAATAGTTGACTTTCCAGAATTTCTGTCTGGTAAACCTTGATTACCGTGAAGTATGCATACAATGCTTTTGTAACCTTAAAAATTAGTTATCTCTCATGGATCTTGAAATTTGGAATGGAGATGACACTAGGATAGTTTCAAACACTAACTAAATCTAGAAGTTATGCCTCTTTGTAAATTTGTAAAATTTTAGATTCTTTGCAATTCAAGAAATTGGGTAATTTTTTAACGCTAGAGAACAATTTGTAAGGACGGGAAGCTTAAAACAGCTAATACGTTTAGTATTTACTGTGGTCACACCATATTCAAAATATTACATTAAGTATCCATGCTCTTTCAGCCTCAAAAAGCCTGTACTTAGTCTTTCTCAACATTTATATTTTAGCTTATACATTTATCTATAAGTATAAAAGAGGATGTTGGTATATTTGGCAGTGATAAACTCAGACACCGCTGGACCGATGGCCACGAAACTTGGTACATACGTGTAGAATTTCATGGAATAGGTTTATACACCATCAATTTCGTGATCCGTCCAATCGGCTCCGCCCCAGTGGCTCTGGAGTTTTCCATGTTAACCTTATGAGAAATGGAATTAATGAATCTTAACAGCTGTTTCAATTAAACAAGTTGGTTCTGTTCTATGATGTTCAATAGCATTAAAGTTACAAGGATTACCAACAGGGTGCAGCACTATTATTTCTTTTACATTTATGACAACAGCTAATTTGCAACCAAAAGGTGAGTGAGCGTAGCGAACGAACTTCAACCTGGAGGCGATTTAGAGTAGCGAACGAGCTAACCTGAAGGCAAGTGAGCGCAGCGAACGAGCTCTAACCTAAAGGTGAGTGAGCGTAGCGAACGAGCTCCAACCTAAAAGTGAGTGAGCGTAGCGAACGAATTTTAACCAGGACGTGATTGAGCCATGCGAACGAGATCATCTTGAAAATTAAGAAGTTAAACGGGGCAAAGCCCGCGGGTTGCAGCTAGTAGAGTTTAAAAGTCACCAGCGATTTGATGGTGCAACTTTATCATAATATAATGGAAACACCATTAACTACCACCAAGGAAGAGCTTAAACTAATGATCGATGAGTTATCAAAGTTCTCATATAGACTTTAATTAGCAAAGGTAAATCAATATCCAACAAACGAGTAGCTAACAAGCTTAATACTTGTAATAGGGTTACCCGTTTTCAGGAATTCATCAATCAATTTGCGTCCGCAACAATTTTGGAGTTTAGAAGTGCATTGATTAATAATGGCCATAATTTAATCGGTTGTAACTGTATAAAACATCGGAGGGTATGAAAAGAACGGATTTGCATTATTTTTTACATTTAACATTTATGTTTAGGACTTAATTTATCTTCTTTAAAAAAAATGTTATAATTAACATATTCGTCTACTTTTTATCAAGAACTATAAAAAACTACAGATTTTTTTTCGGATACCTCTTGACTGTCAGGCGTGATTTGATTAATACAACTATTGACAATGTGATTAAAAATTTATTCACCCAAACACCATATGATCAATTCGTAGTTACACATCACACCTGGTTTTCTGGCCCCAATTTTCACCGGTTGTCTCATGATCAGCTGATGTGTTGCAGTATTATAGAGCTGGGCTGTCTGCTGAGTCCTCTACCAGCTGGTCTCCTCAGCAACCACGTGGGTCGCAAGCTGGTGCTGCTCTCCTCAGCCCCTCTGTTCATGCTGAGCTGGACCATCGTGTTGTACTACCAGACCGCCCTAGGGCTCGCCGTGGCTAGGTAAACTGTAGAGTGTTTTAAGGTAGGTAGCTACCTTAAAAAAATAAAGCATCTTGAAATGCCGTAAGGTAGACCTGTTTAGGGTTTATCTGTTTCGAAACGTGTAATTTAGCATGTCCAAACAGTCAAAATTGGGTTGAAAGTAAATTATAGTCACTGTAGACATTAATTTGTTAGTCAGAAATTTATTTAGCCGAATGGATGAATACAATTAATTGGCTAAATAGCTCTACGCTCGCATTCAAATTATTGAAGGATAATTTGCAGGGGTTCTTATGATAGGGTTCACTAGGTAGATTCAACAAAACCATCCATAGAGTGAAACTCATAACATTTATTTATTTTTAAGACTACAATGTTTTCGATGGGAAAGTACGCTAGTAATCAATTTTATGGTTAATTTTAGGGTTTACCTATAGATAAATCAAAATGCCTCAACTAATCAAGCGTTTTTTCAGTACAACTGCTTTTCAGAACAACTCCATCATATTTTGTGTTGGTCTTTATGTACCCCATAATCTTGTATGATTTTGTACAATACTATCTCCGTCAACCTTTTGTTTTAAAACATGATCAATTGATAGCCCAATGATAAATGGCTTGGTCCTGAAATGATATCTAGCTTAGAATGGAACCAGAGATGTTCAGATTTGAATGCGAGCTTTATAACTACTAGGTTACCAGACAGTTGCTCTGTTACCAAGCGAAGTAGACTTACCGTGTTTGAAAAGCTATGCAAAGGTAGACAAAACTACAAAACATAATAATAAGTTTTATTGTAGGTTCATCCAAGGCTTCACCATCGGCATAGTGTGCACGACGGCACCGGTCTACTTGGGAGAGATCGCCAGTCCCAAGGAGCGAGGTTCCATCACCTCCATGTTCACCAGCGTCTGGTGGCTCGGCTTCCTCCTGGAGTACTCTGTAGGACCTCACCTGACCTTCACAGGCTTCACCTACTTCACCATGCTGCTCAACATACCCTTCTGTCTGGCATTCCTTTGGCAGCCGGAGACTCCTGCGTTTTACCTCCTCCAGTGTAACGAAGAGAAAGCCACCCGTTCCCTCCTTTATTTCAGAGACGGCTCCATCGATGCCATCAAAAGAGAAATAGACGAAATGAAAATGAGCTTGGAGGTCAACAGAAAACCAGCGACTTTCAGAGAACTGGTTGCAACTGGGGTGGATAGGAAAGGACTTTCGATTCTTTTGGTGATCATAACAGTGAGGATTTTCAGTGGGAACTCCGTGATAACTGTGTACGCTACGCACATCTTCGAGCAGATCCCGGAGCTGCAGTTCACCGCAGATAACATAACCATCTCTCTAGGAGTAGTTATGTTTGCCGGCAGCATCGTCAGTACGTTCTTATCAGACAGTGTAGGCAGAAGGCCGCTCTTGCTGGTGTCTTGTATAGGATCTTTCGTGTGCCACTTGTGCTCAGGGATGTACTTCTTCTTCCTCACACAGACCTCTGTGGACGTCAGTGGCTGGAGTTGGCTGCCTCCTGTATCCATCATCCTCTATTCTGGGCTCTACTGCTCCGGTTTGAACCCAGTAAGTATCGCGTACACTTCGGAACTCTTCAGATCCACTACCCGAGGGGTTGCCTCGAGTCTCAGCACCATCAACATGACAGTCCTGGTGTTCGTCTTGCTGTCCATCTACGAACCGATAATCCACGACTTCGGGATGTACGCCAATTTCTTCCTGTACGCGCTTGCGTGTCTTGGTGGATGTATTTATTTCTACTTGTACGCTCCGGAAACTAGAGGAAAGTCCTTTTTCCAAATCAGGAAGGAGTTGTGTGGAGGCACAGTGTCTCAAAGGGAGGATCCTGAAAGAGAACCTTTGTTTGTGGATGTGGATGTGGATCTCTTGTGAAACACAGCTAGTTGTATCTTTTTTAGTTTTAACAATTTTGTATTCTATTGTATAGATTTTAGTCATGTAAATACAAATATTTTACAGTCCTAATCGTTTATATCTTTAATAACCATATACAACATGATACTTACTAATAATTCTTTTAAATATATAAAATGGGACAAAAGTTAACTATGGTTTAGATATACCATCTCTGGGTATTTGCAGTTCTTTCGACTATCCTTTTATACTTTTTGTAATCTTGTCTTTATATGTTTGTAGCATACTTAGCCTCACAAGAATGTCTTATTTTAGATTGTTCAATAATACTAAAATAATAAGCTTATTCATTTTGACCGACTTAAATGTCATAAATACAACATTTAACATCAGTTCTGAGGTTTTCACTTTACTATCCATGAGTGGTGGGGGCTAAAGATCAAATAGCCTACAGAATTTTCCTATACATGTTAAACTCTACCGTTGGAGTAAACATGTTAGTTCACCATATTCTTAAGTTTGCAAGAAAATAATAAAACTTTGTTTAAACAGATTCATTTGGTGTTAGGTTCTGTAGACAGTATTTGTGTTGCAAAATAACTTGCATGTGTTGCAAAATTAAATACCCACCGTAGCGTGATTTACAGCCCAGAATCTTACATCACAGCAAGAGCCCGATGTGGAGCATGAAGTCTTCTTAGCTCTCTAGTATTTCTATTAAAAATATATAATGTTAGGCTATAATGACTTAATATTTCAGTAAAAAAATTACAAGCCAATATCGGCACAATGATAAGATGTATTATGTATTATTATGTAAATGTATTTAGTATTCAAAAAGTAGCCCCCCCCAAAAAAAAAAAAAAAAAAAAACCCCAACACCTTTCTAATTTTTAGTACAATAACTCACAACGAGACTTAAATATTCAACAGTAACAAGTTGGTATTGGGGAAAGAAATAGTCTATATAGTCTAAACAGTCTATCAGTGAACAAAAAAGCTATTGCAAAATTATCAAAAGCATGTTTGCCAAATCCCCACTCTGTATGACAGATGACAGTGATAGGTGATCCTAGGCTTTCTGTGATGGATGAACCAACACGGGATCAATGACGTCTTCATACTGACGTGTCTTATACTTCGTACGTTTTAAAAAAAAAATATCCAAAGAAATTTAATAAATTATGTTAGAATCACTTTGACATTCCAAGAAAAGCAACTTTTATAACAACGATTGTATTTGGTAAACTAGTAGTTGTAGTCTAAAACATCTTTATGATGAGGTAAATAATTGTTATCAAATGAGGAGGGAGTTTTTCAATACAGGGATAGTTCCGTCCTATGAGGTGTATACATTTCTTTCTAGACTAAATAGAACGAATGAGAAAGCGCTAAAGTTTAAAAAGATTCTTAACCACTGAGTCTTTGAACTACAAAAACGGAGATCGGTGATTTGAAGGGAATGGAACCCGGACCTTTAATACGCAAGCCTTTGGTTGATAATTACTAGATAAGCAGTAGATTTTAAGGATAAATAGTTATCTCGCGAGGGTGAAATATTTAGGTACAATATTTTAGTAGACATGTCAAAAAGTCCAAGATGGTTTATGGATTATGCAGTACAGTAATGAAATAACTATATCAATCTGACTCATGACGACAAATCTAATGAAACCGAATAGGTCTACAAACATGGCATTTTAACGCAAATAATATTCATAAAGGCTCTTCTATTTTTACTTAACTGAATCCCTTCTAAACGTTACTATCCCTAAAAAAAAATTAAAAAATCAACATTTTGCTACCAGTTCAACTTTCCTAGGTTGAGATGATAGCGTCAGCAGTGTATAAATCTTATTTTTCACAAGGAACAAAGGCACTTTCTGTTTTATCTGTGGTAAAACAAGAGATATTCATGAATGAATTAAAGTCTGGAGCCAGATTAGGCGGAATTTATTGCCCAGGTGCTTTGTGCAAAGTTGACTCCTTTCAAGCGGAGTTTGCGTTATTGTTTCGATAAACAAAACTTATTAAATAAGGAAAATTAAACTTTGCGAGTATTGTCTTTAGTATTCAGTGTTTTGATTTTAGAATTTTTTCAAAGACAACTTCAATAATATGACGGGTTGTACAAAAACGATCCCCTGAACTCTCTACTGAGCTTTTAAAGTGTATCCTGAACTAAAGACAAATTAAAATATCACGTTAAAAATGTCCAAGACTCAAAGATTACCCGTATAGTTATCATATTCTTATTTTCACAGATACATTTTTAATTATTTAACGGCTTTTTGTAGTAAATTGAAATATTTTGCATAGATAAACGATTCAAATACCTGTTTTGAGAAAAAAAGTTATCATGTGTAGTTTCAAGATGGCAGCCATTAAAATCTTTAACTGAAGTAACATAAAAACTAGATAGGTAAACAAAACTGCTGTGGTTTAGACTATTTCCTCACAATTCTAACAATACCAAATTTCAGCTGGTTGGTCAATAAATATGGGAAGTTATTTTTTACTTACTGGGTACATAAATATTTTCACTCATTGGGTAAGGTCACTTCTAGTTAGCTAAAACCGTCACCCGATTTACAGTAATTGTTAGATACCCGATGAGCGAACGTACCCAGTACGTAAAAATAGCTTATATCCCATATTTATGGACCAACCTTCTTAATTTTGATATCGTTAAATTGTGGGAAAAATACTTTACCTGTCTAGTTTTCATCTTATTTCAATTTTTAGATTTTGAATAACCACCATTTTGAAACTAGACAAGATAAAATAATACATTTTTCTCAGAACAGGCCTTTGCATTGTTTTTCTAAGTACGGAATTTCAATTCTGTACAAATAGCCGTTATTATACAAACAAGAGTTTTGAGAAAAAACCAAATGACGGCTGTTCGGGAATTTTTGAGTTTGGAAATTGTTAGTGAGATATTTTAGTTTGTCTTAAGTCCAGGAATGATATTAAAATGTTGGTAGAGAGTTCAAGGACGGCCCCATTTATCAATATAGGGCTTAGTGGCCAAGAATAGCCATCTCAGGAACAGTCTGCCATCTTTTGATTATAAAGCAACTAACTAACCATCAGAAAGTAAAGTATGGTAAGCAATTATAATATTTATTAAGGTTGTGAATTAAAACCGGATAACTAAATGGTTTAAATTCAATTTATAGACGAACATTGGAATTGACTGCTATAATTCCTCAGTTAAAATCTCGGGGTTTTCTGTTATTAATATCAAGATTAATGCAACTGCAGTTAAATAGCTACTATCAACCACTGTTATGCTAAGAAAGAAGTATTTCGCACAAAAAAATCTACAATATTGCTTAAAATAAAACAAAGTATATAATAATTTTGCAACAGTATTTCTAGCAGATCACGTTGGAGTTTTGAGGGCGTCTATTCTTGTCAGGGCGAAGGAAGAGTCCCGACGGGTGAATTATCCTTCTTTGGATTACTGAGAATTTACTGCTTAGCGTTTCATTCAACCACAGAATGTCTTCATCGTCTTCCAAGTTTCTTTATACAGTAGCTCTTTTGTTAGAAATACAAAATAAAGATTCTGCTGTAAAATATGTATCACTGAAAAATTATTTTCTAGGAAAGAAAATACACGCTTTTTATTTTTAATAACGTAGTTTAATAACGTGGTTTATAAGGTTTTGTTAGGACTGCATAAGAGCTGAATACAGCAATAAATATGTAACATCAATTAAATTGTGTATCCAAATGGTATGCATGTTTAACTTACCGAATTAAATCCTACACAGCTATACAGTACCGAAATCGATAATGCCAAAAGATGAAGAGATATAATCTTTCTCTATGATATGTGGTTCTATTCAATCTTGAAAAAAAAATTACTTCGTGTTTTTTGTGCTAACAAATACTATCGAAGAGTAGGGTCAGTAATCAAGCTATGCATCAGCATAAAACAATTGATTGCAATTGTATTGTTGTTATCTTCCATTGCAATCTTGTGCTTCAATCTGCTTAGCTTTGATTGCAGTGTTCCATTTAACTTGATCAATAACCAGTATTTCAAAGCACTATTTTGTAAGTGTTTCAACTTGTTTCCTTTCAATCGACAAACTTATCTCTATCTGAGGATTGTTGCTAATGAATGTGTTTACAGCTTTGTAATTGGTTAATAAATTACTCTCAATCGAATATAACGTTACATACATGTATTAATACTAACTGTAACATTAGTAATACCCGTGCTTTGCAATGCAAAGAGGACAAGAGACAGAATATTGTTACTCTTAAACATTATTACAAGAAATAATTAAACGTAAATTTTTAAGTTTTAGAATCAACACACTTGTTTGTTAATTTGATATATTTTTTAAAATGTAGGTAAGGGGCATAAATGTCCTATTAGGTAGAAATGGTGCTGATGCGTGTTTATAAATACTCTAACTATAAACTATAATTTGTTAAGTTACGCCTATTCAGAAGTGTACTAACTTTTAAACTCCTAATTTTATAGATTAAAAGCAATCTATTAACATACCGAAGCGTAGCAGTAAATTCAATTACTTGATACTGAAGTCACATAAACTGGAGACCAAATCTTTCGTTTTAGGCCTTGGCTAATTTACAGTTAAAAAACTATAAGTGGGATTCTTTAAGAACTTCACTACCTTTCAATAACTAAACATTTACATTCTCATTAATAATAACACAAAATGAGCAAAGTGAATAAAACACAAACAAAACATTATGCAACAGCTAGTTTGTTCTAGTAAAGTAATTCTTATATTATTTATTCGTTAGAATAACTTAGACCCTTAGAAGCCAGCGAGGCGGGGAGCCTTGGAGAGTTTCTGCAAATTCTCAGCTCAATTGGTCTTGTATTTTCATGCGAGTGGCCATTTCACATTCACAAATACCCAGACTTTCACAATTAGTTATAGTAATAGTAAGATAATAATCCAATGTGTAGACTAGTCCTATGGGTTTGGACCAATCAAATGTTACTTAATACACGAAGCCTTGTAGCTTTAGTTGAAACAGTTCTCCCCGCAAACAACATTTACCACACGGATTACATACAGTAATGTTTAATT